ACCCGGACCTGGCCACGAGGCTGTGTCAGTGCTCAGGGAGCTGCAGCCGGACCGTCCCGAATTGACACAGGGGTCTGCGCTGTTCCGTAGCATCTCTGTGCTCTCAGGACCCGAGAGATGCGTGTCAGAGAGGTCAGAGTTACAGCCGTGAGTGGGATGAGGGTATCAGCTCTTTGGTTGTGTGTTAGAAGTGGCATTAGTGTGGCAGCCGTGCCCTGGTCGCTCGGGGGCGGTGACCGAACGGTGCCCGCTGGAGGAGGTTGCTGCCCGCTGCTGCTTCCCGGTTTGGGAAAGCCTCGGCCAGGAACGCAGGCTCTGTTCCTGCTGCTGCCTGCGGGTTTCCAGCCCTCTCTATACCCGTTTTTCCCCACGATAAAAAGCGTGGCTGAGGTGTGGAGGCTGAAGGCCGAGGCTCTGGGTGCCTCTTCCATGCCACCGCCTTCCTCCTCCTCCTCACACGTGGTTATTTCTGGAACCCCCTTAAACTCCTGCACTGTACGTACTCCCTTCCCCACTCACTGCTTCTCATCCAAACAAACTTCTGAGCACGGTGAGTCACCTCAGAGCGAGGAAAATGCAAAACCTTTCTATTCCATTGCTCCTGGCCAGCCTTGTAATTTTTATCTGTAGTTCCCTCCTTCCTCTCAGCTGCTTGGTTTTGTACTCTTTTCCTGTTGCTGTAATTTAATACTAATAGGATTTGTTTGGGTAGTTATTTTTCAGCAGGTAGGGCCGTGGTTGGGTTTGGGTTTCCAAGTGCAGGGTATGTTAACAGCAGTAGCACGCTGGTGTTAATTAGCAGCTATGGAGCTTGTTTTATAACCCCATGGCGTGTAACTTCAAACAGCAATAACCAAACTAGTTATGGCAACAAAACCACAAACTCCCCAAAATCTTAACAAATTAGTTGCAGAGTGTGCTTCCCAGTGGCTTTTGTGGGCTGGTAGGCAGCCACAAGCCTCTTAAAACTTATAGGATAAGCTCTCTGTTGTTAACACAAAACTTTTCTCAAAGGCTGAATAAAATCAAGCTGGAATCATTGGAATATTAAGTGGTAACTGAGAGCACAGGATCAGTAATTGGCTTTTATGCTTACAGCAACCTGGCAGCCTTTGTGAGTTCTCCTTCTGGTGGAGCAGAAAACCCCCAGAAAATCATGCCCTGTCCTGCCTGAGATTTCATTATTGTATTGTGGTTTATTAGGGAGGGTGTTTTTTTTTCTTCACTTAAAAAATCCTCCCTGCGGCGTCAGGTGGGGTCGGCCGACACGCACGGCGCACGCTAAGACAGCAAAATTAGCAACATGATTTAAGTGGTTTGCCTTTGTGAGAGTGTGCCCGCCCCACGCCTCACAGCCTTGGCTCCTCATCAGGCATCCAGTGTGTCTTGGCTCTTCTCAGGAATAAAGCGTGTGGGAAAAGATGGGGGAGTGTGCACATGCGCACGTGCTTTTTCTTGTAAAAGTCGAGTGGTATTTTAGGTGAGACTAGCATGAATAACTTGCTAGGGGTATTCCCACTAAAAACAATCTAGGAGGTTTTTTGTTTCAATGGCTGACACAGATGTGTGCTGTCTTTGTGTGTGGAGTAGCATCTGTCACCAGTATGGGTGGGGGACTCAAAAAAGTTGTTCACTCTCTACTTACTGGATGGAACTTGTTCTCCAGAAACCTGAAAGCATCTTACATGTTTTCTAAATGATGAGAGTAAGTAGAAACTTGAATTTATTTTCTTGCTGCTTTGCTAGTTAAGATTAATTAAATGTGTGATCTTAAGGAGCTGGGATAGGTTGGGTTGTGCTGACAGCAGGATCTTGGACAGCCTTTGTAAATCAGATTATACAACATGGTCCCTGCAGTTGTTCCTGTTGTAATGTCCTTCCCATACTACATGCAGTACCAGTGTTATGGAGCCACACCTTGGTTGTCACCCAGGCTGAACTGTTGGCAGCAGCATCAGCTGAACTGTGGCTGTGATTGGGGGTACTGGGACCTCCAGCACTGGGGAGAGCTGCCTCTCCCAATAGCTGTTGATTGAGATTATTTGTGGTTTGGCAAGCACAGTTACCACCCTGTGCTAAGCTAAGGCTGCAAAGATTTTATAAGTCTGGTAAAGAGAATTTTTGTAGTCTTTTAAGTGTCTGAACTGGCCAAAGGACGGGTTGTGAACTGTAGCTTGGGACCTTGAGCAGTGACTGTCTCACCAAACCTTGAGTGGCCTGTGTGGAGGGTGAAGGAGGAGCAATAACAGCCTCCCAGGCCCCCACTCTGACACCTTATTGTCAGTGAGACGTGACACCCACAAATGGCATGTGCCACCAGACTGAAAATAGCTCCCACCAGTGCCCTGGGATCCTTATATGTCCCGCTGCACATGCTGCTGCCTCGGGGGGGGCAGGGAGCCCCTTCCGACTGCAGATGTAGCACATCCGACAGCAGGAGTAGCCTGTCCTCCTGGGCCTGCCTGCATTTTCCTGAGGATATACCAGATTGAACATTAGTCTGTGAATTTAGCAGGGAAAAAACCCGAGTGCAATGTTCAAGCTGATGTTGATATTTCCATCAAGCAAGTGTGACTGGGCTTGTGTGTCAGTCTCTTAGAAAGGAAGGAAAGAAACAGTGGTCCGGTGAGCCCTCAGCAAGCCTTGCAGAAACAGCTTGATGTCCATCCTGGTCACATTTTTACATGAGCTTTCTTTATTTCTTGCACATAGGATTGCCAGATGCTCTTAAACCAGATGAAAGAGATCACAGAAATCCAGGATTCAGCACTCCTGCTCGCAGCTCTTAAGGTTTGTATATATTGTCATTGTTCTCGGGAAAGAGAGCTCTGAATTTGCCCAAAAAGTCAGGCAAGTTCAGGCTCTCTCCAAACAGAGCACACAGGTCGGATGTTTGCTGGTGTGTCTGTGGGCTGATGCTGAGCTGACCCTCATTAGAATGGTCGGTGCGTGCCTGTGGGAGCTATCCAGGAACAGCCTGGATGCATGAGAGGCAAAGGGTAAATCCTTTGCTGCTTTTCTGCTCCTCACTGGTGCTTTATTTTTGCACTATCATTCTATCAGGCTGCTAATGGAGACCTGATGGAAGCAGTCACCTTCCTGACAGAGGAGCATGCTCAGGAGCCGGCGCAGGACGTGGCTGCTGCAGAGCCGTCTGCCTGGGAAGGGAGCGCGGTGGGCAAACAGCTCCCACAGGGTAAGTCCGTCACCTCTGCTCGCCCTAACGGCTTCACATCTTCGTGTGAGCTCAGAGGGGAAGTATCTGTCCCCCTGCTTCTGACAGCACATCCCTCTGGCTCCTGTGAGGATCTGATTTTGCCAGTACTGGTCTCTTAATAGTGTTCTAATAACGTTTCATAGGTGACACATCACAGTTAAAAAGCTGGTGTTCCCGTTTCATTATTTCAGGAGCTCTGAACTGTTCCTGCAAGCTCTGGATTTGACTGTAAGGAAATCTGGGCACAGAACACAGCTGCATGCTCTGCCCTGTTCTCATCCAGCCCACTCAGTGGCTTTCGGGTTGCCTGGCACAATCTGAACAGGAATTTCTATTTAAAACCTGATCTAGAAAATTTTGCTCATATCAATTGAAAAACTGTATTTGTGAAGTGTAGTGTTTTCTAGAGGTTTCTTTTAAAGAGAAGGTTTGCTGCTGGTGGTGCGACACTGATCAGAACGCTGCCTTCTCTTCTAGATGTTAGTGCTGCGCCTGCCCCTCTCAACCAAGACAACCTTCACACAGCCAACACCGTCAGACCCCTGGAATCACCAAAAGCTCCAGCTGCAGAAAGGGATGCAGCCGAAAGGTCAGTGGGGCCGTAAATGGGCTCTGGTTTTCCCAGGTATCATAAGTGGGTTCTTAAGCTGATAACTGCAGAGCAAACATGAATTACCTACCAGGTGGACACCTACTGGCTAGAGGGGAGTTTGATTCCCGTAGCTGTTGGGAATCCTCAGGGAGTGTTTTACAGCACAGCGTTCATCTCTCGTGACAGACCACAGGACACGCATTCCGCTGAAAACAAAAACCGCTCCAAAAGGAAACGCTGTGAAGTCTGGGGAGAGAACTCCAAGCAGAATGACTGGAGAAGAGCGGATGACTGGCCTGTTGGAATGAAAAATATAGGAAATACATGTTGGTTTAGTGCTGTTATACAGGTAAACTGTAAGAAAGTTCTCTTTTTCTGATAGCAAACTTGCTGCAGTCTTGGAGTCAAAACGTTTCTCCATTAGAAGTAAATACGCAGCAACTCTGTGAAGGGATCATCATGTGCAGACGAGTGAATGTGACCCTGCTCAAACACAGAAACTTCTGGGTTTATGTGATGTGACTGTGATGTGTTCTGGGCCTGCCCAGAAAGAGCCAAAGAGCAGTTAAATAGGCTTTAAATAGGCTTTGCTTAAAAATAGCTGCAGATACAGAGAATCTGTGTGTCCATACCCAGGGCTTTGCGCAGTGATGGCCAAGTGCCTACTGAATGATAGAAGCTTGCTTGGCAAAATGAACTGTTAATTTAATTTTACTGCAGTTATTGTTGGCTCCATAACACATGGTGTATCATATTCCATTTAATGCAATACACAGGCATAGATGCTTGGACAAATGAACAACTAGGCAGGTATATTATTAGTGATGACCTAAAGAAGAGACAGCAGTAAGTGGAACCGAGCAGATTTGTCTCTCCTAACAATTTCACATCAGCAGAGAGATGTTAATCATTTGTCTCCAGCTCTGAGAGGAAGTAAGAAAGCTGCAAATAGGCCTTTCTCTCTGAGGCTTGTTCTTGAGTGCTTTTCTGAGGCTACCTATGCAGAATAGAATGCTCTTTCCTAAAATGGTTATTTCTCAGTCCTAGAAATGGCAGGATGAGATTTTGTCCTTGGGTGGCTACGAACACACTGTTCTAGCACAGGGGCTGTAAATGTTGTAAACGTGTTCAGTAACACAGGTGAACACAGGGCCACTGGGGAGGGAGAAGTTTGCAAAATAAAGCTGTGGGGTCAGAGAGTGACAGCGGGGCGTCAACTTGCAGTGAGTCTGATCCTTGCAGATGCTGACTGGGCTTTATCTCTCCTCTCCTTTTAGTCTCTGTTTCAGTTGCCAGAATTCCGGAGGCTGGTCCTGGGGTACTCCCTCTCACAGAAAGTGCTTGAAAGTTGTCGTAGTCACACTGTAAGTTTTTGATTCAGTAACACTGTCAAGTTTTCCTCTTTCGTGGTGTAGCGTTCTGCTCTTTCTATAAGCAGATTTAATTTGGGGCCATCTGTGACTACTGTGCCTGTGTTAATGGCTTTAAAATCATCTGGCTATGTTAAAGACAAATTTGGGAAATAGTTCTCAAGGACAGAATCGGGATAGGAAAAAAAAGAACTGCTTCTTGCACCACTGACCTCTAGAGCCTTTAACTGCCATATGGGGAGAAATTTTTCTCATAAAACTTCTTTGGCAGCTCCAGATTATTCATTGGTTTGCATACACAATAGAAGAACCAGTATTTGAGGCAGACTGCAGGTCCCTCTAGCCCCAGTACTTTCTGAGGGTGGTCAGCAGAAGGTGCTTAGAAAATACTTAGAGAAAAAGGCATACATAGAATAATCCTTTGCTTGTTATATCATCCCAGCTTGTGGCTACCACCATTTAAGAGAGTTTGCTTTATTTGCTTTCATGTATACTCTCAATTCTCTAAAAAGCCTAAAATGCAGATGAAATAAATTCATAAATTCACCAGCTTTTGCCTTCTGATTTAGCAACTATAATTTCTGGCACTCTTTTCCCTAAAGGTTTTGTTTTGGTTAACTTTTTTCTCCCACGTGTCTGTTGGGAGAAAAGATTGGGATTCCCAGAAATGACACTGCACGTCTTCCTGCTTTTGCCCTTTTTTATGTCACCTCTTTCCTTAGTTGTTGGGTACCTTTTACAATATGTGCATGTGGTGTTCTGTAGCACTTAGTTTTAAGATGCTGCTTTTTTGAGTTGCAGGAAGGCTTTGGCTTCTCTTCTTTTTGCAATGCAGGGAAAAAGAAATATCGCATTCATGCAAGAACTTCAGAGTCTGTTTGCATTAATGCTGGGGACACGGCGTAAGTTCGTAGACCCTTCTGCAGCACTGGAACTCTTGAGGGATGTGTTTAGATCTGCTGAAGAACCGCAGGTAAAACCACGCTGAAAAGCCTTTTGCTCTCTTTGAACCAGCAGTCACAGCCACAGCAATCCCATTTTGCTTCATCCTGCTGGTGCTTCCAGAGGCCTCTTCCCCTGTTTGTCAGCCGACAAGCAGCTGTCCTGGTGTCATTTAGGCAGAATGTACGTGCGTGCTAATTAACCAGCCAGCGTAGCACTACCCAGTGCCATCTGCGTAGTCGGGTAGCGATCACGATAATTTCCTCTGATCTAGTGTTCAGATGAGCAGAGTGTTCATTATCAGCCTAAATCAGCACACAGCACTTCAGTCTCACACGTAATTCAGCTGGGTGGGTACAGCAGTATCAGTCGGGTTGTGTTCAGTGGGTCTGTGACACCAGCAGACCAGGGGGACACTTTCTCATGGGTGTCACGATTGACTCTGCACTTCTGTCTCTCTTCCAGCAAGATGTGAGTGAATTTACGCACAAACTACTGGACTGGCTGGAGGATGCATTCCAGCTCACTGTGAATGTCACGTGAGTCCTGGGCGATCTCGGGAGTTTGACCTGACTCTAAGGAGAGTTTTAATAAATAGGAGGACTTTACATGAAAATTTTGAGCAAATGAGAGTTCTTTATTTGCCATGGGTGAGGCTCTTTAAGCTCAAAATGTCCTTACAAACCATGGTGTCCACAGCTCCTGTCAGTGCCTATGCAGCCTGTGGAGTAAATGAGCTTTTGAGGGGAGTTCGGTAGAGCTGGTGAACAGGAAAGCTCTGGGTTTTTGGAACTGCATTTCAAAAGCTGGCGCCTTAACATCTTTTTTCCCCCTTGCCAGTGCAGGTGTTATAATATTCTTTAGAGCATGAAAATGGATAAGAAGCTTCCCCTGTATTTTGTGCTTTGATAGAAAACTGTACTTTTGCCTGTAGACTCCCAAAGCAGAGGCTTAGATTACTACCTGTGGTTTTTTTGCAGCCTCCAGCTGCAAATGAATGTGTGCTTTTGCTTTTGAAACAGGAGCCCTGGGGACAAATCTAAAAACCCAATGGTGCAGCTCTTCTATGGGACTTTCCTGACTGAGGGTGTCCACGAAGGTGAGTTAAGGCTTCGGTAGACTCAACTTTTTAACTCATTTGAATGTTTCAGAGTTAACCAGAGTTCTTTGTTCTCTTGAGTTAGCTCATGGTTTTTGTATGGTTTCCATCATCCAGGCAACACTTTTTCCAAGATTGAGACCTTTGGTCAGTATCCCCTTCAGGTAAATGGTTATCGGAACTTGAGTGAGTGCCTGGAAGGAGCCATGGTGGAGGGAGAGATGGATGAGACGACAGCATCTCAATCAGTGAAGTATGGACAAGAGGTTAGTTTTACCTCTTTTTGTCAGGCCTTTGGTTGCCTGCTGCAGGGAAGTGCAGCACACACAGCACAGAGGTACCTCTGATAACTTTAAATGTCAACTGTGAGTGTTCCCTAAGAACTGAAAACAAAATATTGTCTGGATAGCTGGAATCTCTTAAATAGTGTCACATGGTGAGACACTAAGTCTTTGCTGATTTGTAAAGATGTGTTGTCTTATGTAACCAGTTCAAGGAGTTTATTTTGAATTGCAAAGGTCAACGTTTGCTTCTGAATCAAGTGTGATGAAGTCTCTCTTTCTGTTGAAGCCTGCCTGTACCTGAGTAGGGGGAGACCTACTGCCTCCATGTTTTCGGAGGGTAAAAGTACAGTGCTTAACTCCATGGTATGCCATTTGGAATTTGTCTCTTTCTCCCTGTTATACTGTGTGTGGTTTGGGGTTTTTCTTCCTTTCACTTGTATTTTCTGACTGTGGTGATTTTTTTTCTTTCTTTTTTTTTTAATCTCACTAATCACAAATCAATCATAAAATACTTAGTTGCAGCAAACTAGAAGGTGAAGGTGCACCATTACATTCAGCATCCTCTGTGTAAGTGCAGCTGGAGTTAGCTTCGAGAAAGGCTGGGAAACAACATGAAGACATTGGCAAAGGTGTTTGGTGTAGGTGGGGCAGTGAAGGTATTTCAGTTCTATGAGAATGTCTGAAAATTGTGTTTAAAATAGCAAAGGAGAAATGAAGTCCTGGGCGGGTGAGCCCTGTTCCAACTCTGGACTCAAATGTTTGTTCTGAGTTTTCCTGGTTCCCGCCTGAAGCCATTCAGGTGTGTTTACAGGGGATGTGGGTGAAGCTGGTGTGGGCTGGCACTGGAGACAGAGGGACATAGCAGCTCATTGGCCAGGTTAATTTCAATCCAAGCTTTTTAGTTCCTCCAAATCCTTTGTCTAAAATTAAGGGAAATTTGACCGATCATGGAGTTGTTTTAATCATTCTTTGCATAGATAGAAGGAAAAGGCTCTGGCCTAATTTCTGAGAAATCTGACTGGATAGTTTTACTTCCTAGGATATGGTGGCTAGTGGGTGGCATGATAGAAGACATAGGGAATAAGGTGATTTTGTCTCCCAAGCACCTAGATAAGTGTGCTGAAGCTCAAAGCAACACTGGGATTAACGGGAGTTTACCTTTCTCGCAGACAACAGGACTGTAAATCATTCCTCCTCTTTGGTTGTGGGCTCCTTCTCACAAAACTCTGGTGTGGGAGAGGTTTATTGTGGCAGCACACCTAACATGAATCTCACAAAGCAAAACAAGCTTAGTGTGCTCATCCCAAGTCCAGAGGGGAGTATGGAGTGGGTGGTGCCAAGCTGAAATAGGTGAAGGAAGTTTCTGGCAGTGGATGCTGCAAGTATTTGTGAACCCAAGAAGAGAGAGAATAAGTGTAAATTCAACTGTGAATTCTTCTTTCAGCATGGCTCTTTGAAACAGTGTATGAAGCTACAGGAAGTGAGGGTCTTCTCTGAATCCCCTAAATCAAGGAGTTTATAGTTAGAGTGAGAGAGGATAAGGAACCCAGTGCAGTGGGAGGATTCCTGGTTTGTTCATCATTGCACATGATCTCAGAAAAGAGTTCTCTTGGGGGCTCTTGGCTGATGTGCAGAGTGTGTGTAGCCTCTGCTAATTTGTGAAATTCAGTGCTGGACTTCTTAGTAATCCATCAAGCTGGATGCATCAGACAATAACAAGTAACTTTGAGAGCAATTCTGAGGCTTTTTCACAGTAAAAATGTAAAATGGAAGCATAAATTTTTACTTGTAAAATTTGGCTTTTCTACTTCACAAACAAAACCTGATTCAGTGCCTAAGGACAGAGACATTTAAATCAGTCTATAATCATGTGGTATCAGTCTAAAATGTGCCATTAGCAGTCATCTTAAAACAAGTCCCTTTGGGGGCATTTCTGCTTTTGTTACAGCGCTGGTTTACAAAACTCCCACCAGTTCTGACCTTTGAACTCTCCCGATTTGAGTTCAATCAGTCACTAGGACAGCCAGAGAAAATTCACACCAAGCTAGAGTTTCCCCAGACTATTTATATGGACAGGTGAGTTGCCTTGTTGTACAATATGTTTAAAGCTGTTGGTTTATTGTAAATAAAGAAATTTAAAAGATTGTTTGGATGAGCAAGGGAAGATTCTAAAATGTTTACAGAAGATTTTGGGTGTTGGAAGTAAACAAATCTCACCCTACTGGCGGGGCTCTATATTTCTGTTTAGGTACCTCTACTGCAATAAAGAGCTTATTCAGATGAAGAGAGAAGAAATGAAGAGATTGAAGGAGAAAATGGTGATTCTGCAACAGAAACTAGAAAGGTGAGTAGTTAGCTGGCTTTGGTTTTGTGCCTTCTGGAAGTGTGCAAATGTTTCCTTTTAAATGAGCTTTCCAGTAACAGAGAAACTTGTAGAGGAAGGAGGAACAGCACTGGGTTTGTTCTCAGAAGTGTGGCGAGGGGAAGTGAGGTTTCAGAAACAAACCCGTAGCTGCTATGGTTTCTGAATATTACTGATACTGTTACAGGAATAAATTCTTTAAAGAGCACAGTTGCCCCTGTGCATTGGCAGGGGAGGCGTGGAAGTCCAGTAATACATTAAAAAGAATCTATGTTACTGTGCATATTAGAGATCCCCTCCTGCTTAGAGTTTGGCATTATTGACAGGAGGAGGAAGGAGATCGATAGGGAAGACCTGGTTTGGGGACAACCAGAAGATTTCATGTCCCGGGTGCTTTGTGTAAAAATCCTTTTACTCAGCGTGGAACTCACAGTTGGTATTTTGAAGTGGCAGTTCTGTGGCCGTGGCAGCAGAGGGTTGTGCTGTGTCACAGCAGCCCCGGTGCCATCTGTGCTCGGGGACGTTCTGGTGGCAGAGAGAGCACAGGATGTAACCAGGCCTCATGGGCAGCACCCCACAGGCTCTGGCTGGCATAGGGTTAATTGTCTCCAGATTGGTGCTGTGTTTTGTGTTTGTGGCCAAAACCTGCTGATAGCACAAAGCTTGTGGCTGCTGCTGAGCAGTGCCCACAACCTCAAGGCTTTCAAGGTCAGCTGGGTTTTTCTTCTCCTTCCTTCACTTGCTAAACTGTCTTCATCCCAACCCAGCAGTTTTCTCCCCTCTTGCTCTTCTCTTGTCCCCTGAGGTTTAACCTGTCTCATTCCTTCATTCATGCAACACCTTGCATTTTTCCATAGGTACATGGAATATGGCTCTGGCCCAGCCCGCTTTCCACTGCCTGACATGCTGCAGTATATGCTCGAGTTCATCACTACAAAGCCAGCTGTGGCTGTTCCCTCTGCTCAGGGCTCTCAGACAACACTCCTGCACTCCCAAGCCGAGCCTCGTGTTTTGGACGTGCTTTCACAGCCCAATGGGTCAGTAAACAAAAATAAAAAGGATTCACAGGAGAGCACTTCACCTCCCAGCTAAATGCTCCTGGGTGGCATTCCAAAAGTGGGTTATTTATCTGGGCACTGGTGAGCACGATGCTCTAATGTACAAGTACTTGTGCAGGTAGTGGGTCCCTGCTTTGCTGGTCATTTGGTTCTGCATGTTCTTTCTCCTTGTCCAAAAGCATCCCCATATTCCTTGTCTAAGCAGCAAGTCTGAGTTAAATTACGTGCTCTTTTTGGTTAGGCTATTCATTTTTTTGCTTCGTCAACCAGTAAATTACAGCAGTATTGGATTATTATATCCCAGGCCGGCATGGTTGGTTTAACAATCTAAATTAAGCTGAGTAAATACACGAGTTTCTTAGTAGTAATGAAAGGAATTTTTAGAATTGCTCATCGTGGATCTGTGCTTACAGAATTCTATAAGAATTTTCCCTTGTATTTGTCCTGTATTTTAGTCTGATCTGTGAAGGCAGAAGCACCTTTCAGTGTACTTTTCCCTTTACATTTTGTACCACCCTGAAAGGGAAGTCCTACTCCAGCTCAGGAGTAATTTTTGTTTGGTTTATTTAGTATTCTTTTCCAAAAAGAGAGAAAACAAGAGAAAGATTGAAAAACCTGTCCACTACTCTTGGATTTTTACTCCACAGCATGTTAGAAAGGACGGATACTAGTACTGAAGATGGAGCTTTCTTTTTGGCAAATTCTTCACCACAGCAAAACTCCAACATGGAGCTCCAGTCTTCTGTTCCACCAGCAGAATTGTCTGAACATCCAGCTCCCCACGTGGTCTCTGAGGAGGAGCTGAACCTGGTTCGGACATGTCTGCAGAGATGGAGAAACGAGATCAAACAAGATGTGCAAGGTTGGCCCCAAATGCATTTGTAGTGATTTTTCTCCTGAATACCAGCCTGGTTTCACCTCTGTTGCTTTGCTGGATACAGCCTGAACCGCAGATAATCTTGTCCCTGTCTGAGCTCTGGTGTTGAGTATATCTTATAGTTCCAGCCTGGCTTCAAACTTTTTGAAGTGAAAGGGGCTGGCATAGCCTGATGAGTAGTCATTAATTTTTAGGCATTTCTCTCATTGGTGATGTTCTTGGCAGATCTGAAGGAGTCTATTGCCAGAACCAACCTGTCCATCGAACAAATGTACCTTGACCCTCTCCTACGACAGGTAGGAAATGCAGCTTCAGTGCCTAAATATTAAACCAGTTTGCTGATACTGGTTTTTGTCAGTTTAAATTGCCCTCTTTGATATATTGTAAAGTTCCTAGTGATGAAGCAGAGTACGATTTATTTATGAAAATCTTGTTTCTTCTTTCCTTAAAAATCAGCTTGTAGTATAAAATTTATCAAATTGCTCAGTTCTTGTGCCAGGCTACACCTCTGAACACCCGTGCTGTTTCAGCGCAGAGATCAGGCAGAGTCAGTCCCTAGCAGCACACGTGAACAATGTCGGTGTCACTTTGCAGGTTCCCTATCGTTTGCATGCAGTCCTGGTCCACGAAGGGCAAGCCAATGCTGGGCATTACTGGGCCTTCATATACAACCAGCCTCGGAAGAAGTGGCTCAAATACAACGACATCTCGGTGACAGAGTCATCGTGGGAAGAGCTGGAGCGAGAGTCGTTTGGAGGCCTGAGGAACACCAGTGCCTACTGCCTGATGTACATCAGTGACCAGGTGTCCTGTGTTGGTGCAGGTACTGAGCCACAGCCGCTGGTTAATGAGACGTTTGCGTGTTGGTGTGTCCCTCTGGGCTGTGTGATCATTGTGTTCCTCAGCTTCCCTGTGGCACCGATTGTCTTTTGACAAAGCACAAAACTTCACCTCGCATGGGAGTGAAATAATCTACTTTGTACTCAATTAATTTGTAAATCCCTGATAGGGCTGAAAACTGCAGGGAGAACTATCCAGGTGAGATTGGGAACAGCACCTCATGCATTATTTATATGTGTACAAACTCAGGCTGCCCTTTTGTCACGTTCAAGTGCATGTAGTGTTGGTGTTCTTCACTTTGACTCTTTGCAGCAGTTTATATGGCAGTTTGTTTACTGAGGGCGTGTGAATTACCTGCTTCTTTATCTCTCCCATTTTTATCACATTTCCTGAGTCATTTGTTTGGTCTTTGGTGATTCCATTACATTGAATGTAAACAGGCTGGGTTTTGTGCAGCCTTTCCCATGTGTGAGGTAACAGTATCTGAGTGACTCAGACTTACAAGTGTATTTGCAGTGCCAATGTATAAATAGTTTTGTGGAGAAATTGCAGTGCACGTGGCACTAGACATGGCAAACAGCTGTACAAGAACCCAATAATTTCATCCATGGCTCATTTTGATGTAATAAATAGAAGGAAACAATGGAGAGCTGTCATTCTGTTCATTGCTAAGTGTGGCTGATGAGAATCTAGAGTTTGTTCTTTGTTTTCCTATGACAGTTCTGAAATGAAACCATGGGGTGGTTTTTTCTCCTATTTAATGCAATTTTTGTTGATTTTTAAAAACACTTTGCTTTTGCAATGAGTGCATAAGAAATATGTGCTGTAGAGAATTGCCATTTGCTTTTGATAAATATTAGATCTTGTCTAAAACTGATGCTGCTTGGTTTTTGTGCTATTTTAAAAGTGAATATTGAAGTAGATCTAAAAAACATTGAGAAATACCAGTGTGACATTTATACTATAAAACCCATGCACATCCCTACCTTCACCTGCTGTGTGGTGCTGCAGGTGTGACACCTCTGGCTGAGCTGTTGGCAGTTGACAGTTCAGTGCTGTTCCCTGTATGACTGGAGCCCTTGGATCAGGATGTGTCTGACCTGCATCAGCAGGCACTGCTTCTGGAATTGCTCTGTGTTAAATGCTGTCCAGTGGTAGAAAAAAACTAGGTTTTGTTTCAGATAACTCTGTAGATTTTTTATTTTTGCACCTTTGCTTCTGGATCACCTTATATTACAAAACCAGTAGAAAGTTGGGTGGGTTCCCCGTTTCTCTCTCAGCCAATTTGCTTGTGGCTGCCCATAATGTTGTGTGTGTATTTAGTCCCTAAGGGTGGTGTCCTGCCACAATGTGTTTCTTTATGCTGGTCTTGCATTTCCTCCAGATGAGGATGAGGGCCCAGAGGCTGTACAGATCCAGAAAGAAGTGGAAGCCTTGACCCCAGAACTGAGACAATACATCCAGAAGGACAACTGGCGCCTGGAGCAGGAGGCAGAGGAGTGGGAGGAGGAGCAGTCTTGCAAGATTCCGCAGATGGAACCTTCACCTGCTTCTGAATCACAGGACCTCTCCTCTGAGTCAAGACCAGGTAATCCCACTCTGAATTTGCAAACTGTGTTGGAACCAGTAACAGCCAGCTGGTTGCCAGTGCCATTGCGTTGGAACCTTGCACAAATGTCTCAGAATGCAGAAGCAGCTGTGGGTGAAGCAGCAAAGGCAGCTGCTGGAGGTTTTGCCCTTGCAGTACAAAAGGCTGTTCTGGTTCTGCATGTGCATCCTTCCAGGCTTGTCCCCAGAAATGCTGTTTCTTGTTCACTTAATCATCATGGGCTAATCTCAGTTCACTTCCAGCTTTTTCTTTTTTTCATAAATATCAAGTGGACAAGTGCTGTTCTCTGGAGTGGGAAACGTTACTTGACAATCCCTGATGACATGTGCCATTCCCACTGGAAAGGGGTACGCACACGCTCACGTGAAGTGCCTTCACCTCTGGGATGAAGGCAGCAGCTGTGTAACACTGCATGGACAAGCTGCAAAACGTTTTAGAACAAGAGAGGAGAAGAAGTGTTGCAGCTGGTGCTCACTAGTACCACACCTCTGTCCTGACAGATCAGTTGTCGGTCTGTGAGCAGAGTGTGCACTCCCTGTCCTCGGAGCACGCCAGGATTGCCCAGGAGCAGACTGCCAAGGCCATCGCCAACACTGCTGATGCCTATGAGAAGAACGGCGTCGAGGCAGCTCTGTGCGAGGTAGGAGCTGAGCCCTGGCCCAGAAGCCAGCCCCTTGTCTCTTGTCTTCTTGACAGACCTTTGCTTTTCCCATTTCTATGAACTTCTGTAGCCACGTTTAACTCAGTCCCCTTTGGCTTTCCTGTATTTTGCTTTGGATTTTCTTACTCTCTTTCTTCTTTTTCTTCTCGGCCACAGCCCAAGGAGGTAGAGCCGCTGAAGGCCCAGCCGGGAGAAACAGCCCTCACAGTTCAGGCAGAGCAGCCCCAGGATTCTCAGGAAGCAGAGGCTGCTGCCCAAACTAGCTCACAGGTCTCTGAAGTGGAAATCCCCAGTGTGGGGAAGATTCCCGTTAGATCTGATGCAGACGGATATAATGAGGAGGTACAGATCCCAGTGCAGGGGTTAATTACTGCCGCTTGTTAGCCCGTAGTTTTGTAGTTAGCTGGCTTTGAGCTGCCCTAAGGGTGGGTGTGATAGTGTCTGTCACAGGAACAATGCCCTGTACAAAGTGCATTTTCCCACTGTGGAAAGGAAGCTGGACAGACCAAATTGTTCCATAATTCCATTTCTAAATGCCATTAGAAAAGCAGCTCTGTAAGAGTGCTCAATTGGTCGATCTGCACATTGGTCCTAAGTCCTTTTTCTGGCACAACTGTATCATAATTAATCCCACCTGTGTTAATTTTTTTACAAGCTTCTTTGCTCACTGTAGTTACAGTTTTGTCCCCTCTCTCGAAGACCTTATCCCTAACAGCAGAACTTACATACTCTGCCCACTGCTTTTTTGGGGTCTGACCATTTAACCACTCACACACATGTTCAAGCAGTGTTTTGGAAGTTCTGTCTCTTTCACAAGTGTAGTTGGATTTCACGCAAACACTGAGGCTGTCACTCCTTGAGTGTGTCTGATGTGCTTGTGTGAAATTGGCACAAGGAATTTCTGTGCCACAGGTGCTGTTCTCATTTTATATGGCTTAGGAAGATTGAGTGGGACACGGGGGACATGGCCAGCAGGCTTTGCCTTCTCACTTGTTTAATTTTCAAATTCAAGGCTTGGAGTGACGAGCCTTTAGATCTTTAAATGCCTAAGAAAAGCCCTGCATGTAAAGTGCATGTGATCAATAGAGTCAGTAGAATGCAAGTAACTCACAACCCCAGTTATCACACCTGTACTCGTATGATTTCCTTTAAACCTTATCTTTTGAAAGTTTCTTCCATTCTTCACCGTGCCTTTCTCTTCTTTCCCTGTCCGTTACTGTTTTCCTTGTTCTTGTTTGTGTCTGTTCTCCTGCTTTCATGGTAGGTGATGCTGAGTCCAGCCATGCAAGGTGTCATCCTGGCTATTGCAAAAGCCCGCCAGACCTTTGATCGCGATGGGTCTGAAGCAGGGCTTGTTAAGGTATTGATTTGTTTGCTAAATCCAATAGTATGGATATCTGTTTTCTTAGAATGGGGAGTCTGTGCTGTACTGACAGATCAAGAATGTGAAGGGAACAATTTGTGCAGTTTTTCTTCTAGCTAATGGCCTTTGTCCTGCATTTTAGTTCCTGCTCTCTTATTGTGATGACATATCTGTCTGTTCAGAACAACTTTTAGAGCTTCCAAGAAAGAACTCACTCCTCCCAGGGCAAACAGCAACTTTTTTCCTGCTTATTCTTTTAGTACTGTGAAATTTGTTTTTTTGGTCCTGAACATGCTCCCTTACTGTGACCTCTGTTGTCAAACGTGTCCTCGAGAAATGTCTGCATGAACAGAGGGTGTTGAGAGCATAAGCACTGCTGAATGTTGAAGCTGATGTTAGATTTTACAGGCAGGTAGATTTAACTAAAAGTGCCACATGGGAAGAATCACCCATGGTGGTAATCTATGGGAATATAAATCACAAGGTACTCTTGCACCTCTTCCAGGTACAAGTGTGCAGCAGTTGATTTTTGCAGCCTGAGCACTTGCAGGATGGTTAGCAAACCTGTCTGAGGCAGCTGTACCCCCTCTCTCAAAGCCATTTGGGCTCCCCAGCACTTTTGGAAGCACGCACTTCATGTGCAGGGTTTGCCTGGCTGTGGGGGCCATTGGTTTGTAGTTGAGATGTTCGTGGGCTTCCGTTCACCACTGGAATATTACCAGGCTTGATGTCTCCATGGGAATCCCATCAAATAGGACAGGTTTGAGCTCCCTGTCAGCTGCTGTGGCGTTCCCACGGGCAGACAGGTAGATATGTCTGTGTGTGTGTTCCGTCGGCAGGCGTTCCACGAGGAGTACTCCCGGCTGTACCTGCTTTCCAAAGAGACCCCGACCCCCCAGAACGACGCCCGGTTGCAGCACGTGCTCATCTACTTCTTGCAGAACAACGCTCCACAGCAGGTGGTGGAACGGACCCTCCTTGAGCAGTTTGCAGACAAAAACCTCAGCTATGACGAGCGGTGGGTGCCCAGGATTCCAGGGAAGGCTTTTCTCACCTGCCTGCAGCTGGGGCCACTGTTCTGATTTTTCTCTTTCTCTGCTCACATGGAGCAGGTCCATCAGCATCATGAAGGTGGCACGAGCAAAGCTGAGAGAAATTGGTCCTGACGACGTTGACATGGAGGAGTACAAGGTAAGGGACTAGAGAGCTGCCTCTGATCTTTCACACTATCCCAACTTGGACTGTCCGAAGTGGGAAATGGGGAGCACAGCCTGGAGCTGTGCTGGCAAACCCGGGGTTCACTGCACTCCTGACAGCAGCATGGGTCTGCAGGAGGGGGCTGTGGGAGAAAGAATACGCTGGAAATCTCCTGAGCTTGGAGGAGTGTCTGCAGTTGGCTAAATTAATTTACCTGTCACTTATCAGAGACATTCAGTCACTAGAGAGGGTAAAATCTGACACCCTTTAGAGTCACAGGGGACCCCAAACTGTGCATGTGGGTGTTCGGGGTGAGGCTGACGCTCTGCTTGGCTCCTGCTCCTCACAGAGATGGCACGAGGACTACAGCCTTTTCCGTAAGGTGTCCATTTACCTGCTGACGGGGTTGGAGCTCTACCAGAATAGAAAGTAAGTTCCTCTAATTGTGTGTTTGGACAAGATAAGCTGTAGCTAAAAGTGAAGGCCACTCTGACAGAATTTCTTTCCAACCCGTGATGGCCAGTTTGTATTCAGTCCTGTGTTTGAGGCCAGGACTGGCTTTCTTTTTGACCTGCTAAAAGCCCTTTCTTGAATTGAGAGTTGACCTTGATTAACAGTTCAAATATGAGATTGAGCTGCTGGCCAGCTGTCTGACAGTTTCTGAGAGTTTTTCCTAAGTTTTTTGTCTGGGAAGTAGAGCTTTATATTTTATTTTCCAGAGATGGGTTTTCAGGAATGACTGCCATAACTTTGGGATTTTTCACCTCAGACCCCTTTATTAAAATTAAATTGTCTCAAAGTGGACATTATGCTTTGTGTAAACACACACTTCAGAGTCCTCTAGACCCAAAGGGCCTTGGTTTCCTCCTTACCTCTCTAGAAACTGTATTTTACATAAATTGTGCAGGATGGAAGAGAACAGTGTCATTTTAGGAAAGATAGAAATCAGAAAAGTAATTTTTCTAATCCAGAAAATAAACAGGCTTTCCGAAATTATTCCTTAAAGGAAACAGAATTGAATTCTGGGGTGGTTCACAGTGACAAACTACCAAATTCAGGTGGGCAAATTGACACGAGGCTGGGCAAGAGCAGATTAGAGCTTCCCTCAATTGTCCTAGTCCCTGTCAGTGATTCTGTTTTCTCACCTGGGGCAGGGGTTTAGAAGCCAGAAATATGTGAGGGACCTGAAAACATGACGTTCTGCACTTGGAGTGTTCTCTCAAAGTGCAGTGCAGAAAATAAATAAAAATGTTGTACTGGAACTTGGCTCTAAGGGGCTCTGCCAAGATGCTCATTAGGCATTGCAGGCAAAAAGGAGCAGGAAGGGCTTGTCATGGGACATCTGTTCATTTGTGCGAGGAAATACAGCTTTTCCCATCAGGCCTGGTGCTAGTGAGCCGGGCCCAGCGGGAAGGGTTTCCTGAGGTGAGCCGAGGGACTGGCTGCAGTCATGGCCCTGCCAGAGCCCAAGGCCTGCAGAGCTGACCCTCTTCTCCCAGGTACCAGGAGTCGCTCACCTACCTGGTCCACGCCTACCAAAGTAATGAGAAGCTGCTGCTGAAGGGAACCAACCGAGGCGTGAACGAGTCACTGATCGCCCTGTACAGAAGGAAGTGTCTCCTGGTTTGTATCGAGGAGCTCAGCTCTCACTCTTGGAGAGGAGGGGAGGGAGCAGCCGGGGCACCGTGGTAGCCAAGACCAGTGTAACTGTCTCTCCTGTGTCTACTGCTGTGGGTCTGCCCCTTGCTGAGTACCAGCAGCAGTATGGAAATAATAATGATAATTCAGTGACAGAGCGTGCCATACAGCTCTCAGGGAATTCAGGCAAAGGCAGATCTAGGTCTTGGCATCTTAAAACCAGAGTTGTAAATAAGCCGTATGCATTCTGTATGTAGATACAGAAAATTACATGTATGTGTATGAATATATACATTTACCAGTTTGTTTTCTATGGTGTGGTTCCCATGATTAAAGGCGGCTGTTCCACCACAGCCCAGCACCTGGTGCTGTTAGTCCTTGTTCTCTGCGTGGCTGCTGGTGCAGGGCATGAGCTGGACCTTTCCTGGCTATCCACGGCCCATGCTTGCTCTTCACCAGTCTGTCCCCAATTCTCCCTTTGCCTCCAGAAGCTGAATGAGGTGGCAGCCTCTCTGTTCGTCAGCTCTGAAGAAGCTCGTGTGTCAGAGGGCGTGAGCATCCTGAATGAGCAGATCATCCCTTGCATGCACCTCATGAACAACTTTGATATCTCCAGAGAGGACCTGGATGCCATCGAGGTCATGAGGAACCACTGGTGCTCATATTTGGGACGAGAAGACATGGACGGTAGGGAACAGCTGCTGGCCTTACCTTTGTTGTGCTGATCATGGGCAGGGCAGTGTCTGGATCTCAACTGGGAAAGAATTTAAGGACCATTTAAAACACTTCCTTAAATTCCTGGCCTTTCTGATTGTGGGAGGAGAAGTCAATTTGAATCACCTATTGAATTCTGTTACAGAAGAATTTAATCTTTTGCACTAAACTAAGCTGCAGAAGGATCTCTCTTCCCTGAAATAGGACAGCTGATGTCCCAAGAATGGCTTAGTGTTCCCTCAGGGGGCTTGGGTCTTCTGTTAGGGTTTCTCCCTGACTGGAGGTACCCAGGGATGGCAGGTGAATGCAGACATGCTCAGTGGCATGGCACACTCCTCTTCAGGAGGGAGCAGCAGGTGTTATCAGAGGCCAGGGTTGTGGGAGATTGGGTGGGGGAGCAGATTCGGAGCATCTCTGTGTTCTGAAGAGAGGTATGTTGTTGTAGAGCTGCTCCATGTGGGCTGAGCTGCCCTGTCCGAAGGGGAACGGGCTGTGAAGGCTCTGTTCTCCTCAATATTTGAGCATTGCCCAGTGATTCCTGGCCTGACAGCCAGTACAACAGCACCTTTTGTGTGTCCTGGTGGGATGTGGCCGTGGCCCCTGGCAGCCAGGTGGCAGTGGAGCTTCCGTGGCAGAGCCCTGGGTAGGCGAGCAGGATGAGGACTGGCCAAGCTGGGCGGCAGCTGGTGCGATGCCTCCTCTGGTCAGCAGGTGCTGCTCATCCCCGGTGCTGGGCTTGGCAGCTCTGGGTGCGGGGACAGGAGTCTGCAAGAGGCGTCACAGTGGCACAGCCCATTAGCTCATGGCCTGGAGCCCTCTGCCATCTGCTGCCACTGACCGTTTCCTCCTCTCCCCCTTGACAGCAAAGCTGCAGCTGAAGCTGGGCGAGCTGCTGCCCCGGCTCCTCGATGGCTCCACCGAGGTCATTGTGCTGAAAGAGCCCCCGAAGATCTGGCCCAACTCCCCCTACGACCTCTGCAGCCGCTTTGCGGCCGTGATGGAGTCCATTCATGGGGCCTCGACCGTGACCGTGAAATAGCCCACAGACCACTCGCTGTGCCACAGTGTCACACTGCTCACCTGCCCGGGGCCTCCATCGGGTAGTGCTGGAGCGGGAGAGGGGGCAGTTTGGCTTCCGAGCTGTGTTCTTTGTAAATATAAGTGAATAAAAAGCAGTATTGCACTTCTGAGGCAGAAAGTGAGGCAGTAATGAGAAGGACCTGGACGACTGTTGTAGCATTGAGGCACAGGCCCCAGCAGCACCACAGGGCCCAGCCCAGCTTCAGGGGTTCTTCTGTCCTGACAGCTTTCTAGATGTGACCCCTGGGCCTGTGATGGCACAAGAGCCCGGCTCCTCTGTGCACAGTGCTGCACGTTGTCACTGGACTGTCAGATACTTTTACAGCTCCCTGAATGGTCACTGCCACAGGTTGCACGTTGTGATCCAGCCGGGCTCCTGCTCGCAGGAGCCTGGGCTGAGTGAGGAGGAGGCAGCGAGGAGCGGCAGCTCACTCTGTCGTGTGGGCAGTCGTGCATGCAGCTGCATGTTGTGGTCAAGCCAAGCAGGCTTTTGCCTTTTGTATTCCAGCTGGCACCAGAAATCACGCAGGAGCCTTTCTCGGAGAGGCACAGGCAAATCCTGGTGGTGAAGAGCCAGGACGGGGCTGTGAGTTTGTGCTGGGCGGGAGCTGACTGACTCGGGGCAATCACACCACCCCAAAGGATATTCCTCTCACAGCTGGAAGGCAAACTTTCTTCTCCCCTTGGGTGGAGTGTCAGGGCTGGATGAGTGTCGCTGACAACTGTGAGGGCTCAGATCAGCCCATTGTGTTGGTGGTGGGTTTTTTTGTTGACTTTGTTAACGAAGTGCCCTGTTGGCATTTCCTTTTGCGGGGGCCCTGTGCTTGTGTTTAAGCTGTTTGAGCTGCAGCAGCTGTTGTAAGCCAAAAGTTCTGAGTCAGTGGAGGGAGATCCTGTTTGTTGGGACTATGCAGAGTTTTCTAACAGTGCAATAAAAGCATTTGTTCTATGTTAGAATGAAAAAGCTCCCTCCGTGTCTTTATTTTGCTCTGGGGTTCTGCCTTAAGGCTCGTCCTGTACAAAATATGTTGTCATTAGCAGAGCTGCCTGGGGATGGTCCCACCATTTTGTTGGTGTGCATTTCCCCGTTATTTAGGAATAAACTGCTCCTATGGGAAAATCTTGCACTCTCCCAGTGACTTTATGAAGAAGTAGGACTGCCATTATCCACAGTGGTGGTGGAGGTGGTGTCCCACCAGTGACCTGTGTCTCCTCAGGGACTGGGGTGCTGTGGCACCAGGGTGTTGCTTTTTCAGCTTTTCCCCTGTTGTCATGACAGAACAGTGGAATGAGGCCTCCAACTCACTGCTCAGGGTGCTCAGCCTGTGAGGGATGAAAATACGGAGCTCTTGAACATAGACCCCAAGCTGTGACCTGCTGGGAGCTGTGCCCTTTCTTCCCCTCCAGTGCTTGGCATTGCCAGGCAGCTTTTGTGCACTTGCAGGCAGTAGGATGTGGTTTGGGGAGAGACTCCTGAAACAGGAGAGTCCTTTTGTTCTGACTGTCAGGTAATGAGTGGCTTTGCCTTGTTCTTTGTGTTGCTGCCAGGAGCTGAAATGCCCCAAAGCCTGCTTGAAAAAAAAAACAACAAAAAGTGTCAGGAGTACAGAGTCGTGCCAGGTCAATTCCTGATATTTGGGTTGGGCTGGATGGGAGTGTGTCCAGGCTGGAATCCTTTGCTCTCTGTCCTGTCCTCCCATTTTCCAAGGGAGTTATAGCCAAAACAGCCTCTCTGCTCCTGGAATTGGTCAGCCCTCTCAGGGCAACTGGCAGGGCATGCAGCTCCTTGGAAGGTGATGGCCAGGAAGGCCAACCCCTGGGTTCTACCTCCCTTTGATCTTTGTTCAGAAAGACAGAGCGCTCATCTCTCCCCCTTCACTGTTGGCACCACCAGCTCTACCCCCAGCCCTGAAGCATCAGAACTCCCAGGGATCGTCCCTGTTCCCTCTCCCTGCCCACCTGTTCCTTCCTCTCCTCTTCAGCAGAGCAAAGTGCAGGTTTCAAAACGAACTTAGAGGGGAGTGGACTTTGTTTCCCCCAGGAATGCCACTGTCGGCTGGGCCTTCCTTGAGATTGGTCACGCGCCCGGCTTTGAGCCTCCAGGGATTAAACCAGCGGTGAACTCGGTTTTCAACCAGTGCTGTAGCAGCGGGCTGGCCCCTGTCAGGACTCTGGGTACTAATCCAGCCTGATGGTCCGTGCTCTTGGTTGCAGAGGTGTGCAAGCAGCCTTTATTTTTACAGCTGAATCAGGAAAATGTGGAAGGAACAGTTAAGGAGACCCGCAAAACCCCGGTCTTACCTTTTCTGCGCAGGTAAATGATGCAGTCGAGGAACTTTTGACACAAAGGTCTGTGGCAATTATCGGCTTTATCATCTTAGCCATGAGAAGATGAGGCTACTGCAGGGCACACGGCCGCTGCCATCCTGCCTTTGCAGCAGGACTAAAATTGGAGCTGCCTTGTCTCTAATTTTCCCTCTCCCCCTTGTTTTCCACTTTTTTCTCTCTTTTTTCCCCAGTCTTTCCTGGACAGACTGAAACATTGCTGCAGCGGCAGCGCTGCCCCTCACGACCCTTGCATCCCCCTCGTGCAAGATGCAGCTGCATGTTCAGAGCACAGACACACACTGCCAACGGCCGTGATAATTTATTGCAAATGCATCAGAGCGACACAGACACACAGGGAAGGAGCTGCTGTGCTGAGCTGCCAACACGGTGTCACCCATCAGTGTCACCAGCAGTACAAAGTACTGCCCACTGCTTGTTGCCTTCCCACGCTCGCTTGGCGAGTGCTGCGGGGAAACCTGCTGCTCCTTAACAGAGAAAAAGTGAAGCAGGCACACAGAGAAAGGAGAGGAAGTGGCAGGGCTGCTGTAGCAATTAGCAAATCATCCTGTGAAACGTGCAGGAGCCCTCCCTGCCAGGGGAAGAGCCACGAGGCATGCAGGGCACAGCGAGGCCCTAGATGACCAGGTCTGCGATTTTGGGGGGTGGGTGGTGGCCCCTGCCCAGACCCCGCGTGGTGGGGAGCTGGTGGCAGGCAGGGGCCGGCGGTGTCGCGGTGCTCGTGGAGCGGGCGCTGCAGGCGAGGAGCAGCCCACCAGCGGCGAGGAACGCTCCGGCAAACCACCCCAGGAAGGTGGCCTCCCCAAACTCCCACCGGGGCACGATGTCGGGGACGGTCTCATCCCAGAAGTCGAGGACGGTGTTGTAGGCGACCCAGGAGACCGGCACCAGGGTGGTAATCCCCGCGGTGCCAAGCACCACTCCCCCAGCGAGCAGGAGACGCTGCTTTTGCCCGGGTTTGTCCTCGCAGGCTCTCCAGCTGTCCAGCCCCATGGCAGCGAGGAGGCAGCCCAGCAGCCCCAGCCCATTGGAGACACACATCAGGAGGCGAGAGATGCGCAGCTCAGGGGGCAGCGCCAGGAAGGAGCCGTGGGCTTGGCACTCGACCACCCCTTCCTCCTGGGTGATGCAGACCTGCCAGAGCCCCATGTTCCAGACCTCCAGCTCGTTCAGGTCCAGGTTGAGGTTCTTCCAGAGCGGCACAAAGGTGGTGACGCAAGAGCTGACCCACCCGAGGAGGGCCAGCAGCATCCCCCCCGCCTGCGCCTTCGCCCACCAGCCCCCGGCCATGATATCGCCGCCCCGCTAACCTCTGGGCCCAGATTAGCCGCCCTGAGCGGCGGCCGCGGGCATTAACGTTTGTGGAGCAGCGTCCGCCCAGCCGCCGGCCGCGTCTGCCGCCCGGGGGGGCGAATTCAAGCCTGTTCCTCCAACGCCGGGGTGTGGCCACGGTCGTTTTTCAGCCGTTGTTGGTTTTTCCACGCTAAAAGAAAAGCGCGCCCGGCTCAGCAGGAAAAGCCGGGTGCATCCCCGCCGTGACTCTGGGCAGGGAATCGCCGTGCCCGGGAGGGTTAAGCCAAGGCATGCAAATCCTCCGAGCCTCGGCCACCCCGAAGCGAGAGCCTTGGCAGGGAAGGCGCCTCTCGGCAGCAGCAGCAGCTCCGGCCGCGGTGGGACAGGGAGGGCACCCGGGGCAGGATGCAGGCAGCGGACAGCCGGCATCGGGCTCTTCTCTGGAGTCGGTGCCTGGGTTGGAGGCCCCGACTCTCATTTGGTCATCAAATAAATATGCAAATGAGCCTTTGAGAGCTGCGTCGAGGATGGGGATGTCCGAGGGAGGGAAGCAGGTTGCAGGTGGGTACTAATCACCCTGTCCTGTGTCCAGCACCTCACCCGGGACACGGCTTGTGGTGCCTGTTGTGTGTGAGGAAACTGTTGTCTGGGAGGGGACTCCCTGCTGCAAACAGAAGAATGGGGAAAACCCATCTACAACAGCCTGGTCCAGTGTCCCTGCCCATGGGAGGGGGTTGGAACTGGATGATCTTTAAGGCCCTTTCAATCCAAACCGTTCTGGCATTCTATGAAAAGGATGGGCCACAGCATCAGGAAAATCCCAACTTTGTGCTGGCGCTCAGCTCCCATCCACCCCCACGTGCGTCCCCTCCGCGGGGTCCAGCTTGCAGATTCATCTTCCCCGGGAGATTAGCGACTAATCTCTCCTTCATCCGCGTCTTTCTTATCTGGTATTGGGAGCCAGACTGGAAATTACTGAGTCCTGCTGGCCCTGGGGGTCCACCCCAGTGAGTGTCAGGGGGGGCCTTCGCAGAGGCCTCCCAAAAGGAGAGGGTGAGGGAGCACAGACCACGTTTAGTGTGGGAGCACAGAGCAGGCAGGAGGGGGGGGATGTTTTCCAGCACTTGCTGACCATCTCATCCCTAAAGAGCAGACAGTGAGCATCATCCTAAGGGCAAGAACAGGGAAATCCGCTGGGAAACCCCTCCTGCTCCTTCCCCCAGGCATTGGGGCTCCTGCTCCTTCTGATTAAATCGTCTCAAGGTAATTGTGCCTGTCATTGAGACAGATTAACGGGTGACCTTCTGCCGCTGGAGCAGGATTGGTGGCCGCCACCGAGCTCCCTGTCCTTCCGTTCTTCCCTCCCACTGGCCACAGTGGCACAGCCTGGCAGAGGATTCCCGTCCACGACCGGTGGGAAGATGCCCGGCAGTGGCCGGGGCGCAGCAGGAGCCACAAGCCGAGAACGACGTCTCTGGGGCTGGCAGCCACTCTGCCTGGACATGAGGTGGGTGCCCTCTGTGCCCAGGGGTCTGGGGAGCTGGGGGGTTGGCCCGGAGGCTGATGTCCCTCGTCACTGCACTGCTGGTCCTGCCGCTCTGCAGAAGCAGGGAATGCTTGGAGGGGGCAGAGCACCCACGCTCCCACCCCAGCCCCAGCCCTGTCCCCATGGGTCGCTGCACTCCAGGTTGATTTTCCAGGAATGTGACCTCTCATCACATCTCCCCACAGGGACCGGCTGGACTCAGCCCGTCCCAAGGAGCCCAGCAATGGGATCTGTATATCACAGCCTGTCCAGAGGCCACCCATTTCTGCTCAGAGCTTCTTAGAGAACCGGGAGCCACAGCCATGGCCCAGAACGAGTGTGGAGCAGAGCCACGGCGCTTACCCGGAGCTTGTCGGCTGCTGGAGCGGCTTCCCACCGGAGGAGGATGGCTCCTTCCCCGGCCTTGCAATGCAATTATGGCCCCTAATGGGCTTAGCCATCTGGAGCCAGCCCATAGCTGCCCCGGCACAGCTCCGGGCCTGGCACATGCACTGCTGGGCAAGGGCTTTCCCCCCAGACCCCAGCCCCTGAAGATGTGGAGAGGGACCAGAGCTCTGCACTGCCCTCCGTGTC